TAGAAGTGTTGTATTAATCTCATTAATTGTCATGTGTAGCTTGAAGCTAATTGTCATTTCTCCATTACCCATATACAATTATGTTTCATTAAGTTTGTAAGAAACTTTAATTTTCCAAAAAGATTTTTAATTATAGATATATAATGTATATAATATAATGTACCACATGCTGATCAGAGGGATGTGGGTGGGATGTAATGCCAGAGTAAAGTAAAGCTACAACTTTCACAAAAGTGCTCATGATCATATTTTTTCCTGACCAAATCAATATAATGCGATATTTCTATATGCTGAATGTAAGCTTTTCCATATTCCAAGCTCGCCTGCTGCACTGGGGACATCACATGCATGTGCGAGTCGTGAAAATTATGAAAATAAATCTAGGAATTATTTGATTGTTGGATTTTAAATCAGCAGGGTTGAGGCATCAAAAGTAACTAAGTAACTAAGCTGTTTTATGGATGGTAACTAATATTATTACTGAAATCTTATTAGTAATTAGTTACACTACTAGTTACTGCAAAATGTAATATTATTACAGTAACTAAGTTACTAGTTACTGCCCAACACTGTTTTTAAGATATACACTAACCTTGACTTGACTAAATGTCTGCGGCAAAAGATAAAAGGTTAAAAGGAGACTTCATTTAGCTTTAAAAAATAAAACAAAATACTTCATTGATACCACAATATTTTGATCAAGCTTAGTTTGGCTCAAAAGCAAAACTCTTGTCATACAGCAGCCATACAGTTCTTGATAATAATACAGTGATGCAGATTTTTAATACAGAAATACAGATACAGTAAAGTCCTGAAAAAAAAACATCATGTGACATAATATACCCTCCTGAGTTTCCATTGCCAGGTTTTATTGTCTGTGGTCATAGTCGCTGACTCTTCTTTTGATCAAGGACAGTTTTGTCTTCAGCTGTTTACACCTTTTCTTTTTCATCTGATAGTCTGCAGACTGTGAGAAAGGAAACAGGTCAGCATTTACCTTTGTATCTATACACATATATCATTTTTTTTCTACTATAAACAGTTATTTTTAACAGCTGTGACAAATTATGCAATTCATGATATTCTAGTCATATTTTTTTTTAAAGATGACACAAAGAGTTTACCTTCTTTAAACCTTTGAGCCTGTTGTATACATCCATGGCATCCTTTTTAGGGAATAAAAACGAGTAATATATATTAATGTAACATATTTTAACAACAACAACAACAATAATTTATCAAAACAGATAGAGACATAATATTAAATGAATGCTTAATATCATTAAAGAAGTGCTTTTTTTTTTTTTAAGGTGGAAGAGATGCTGTGAAAACCAGAGATTAAGTGACCTTACACCACCCATAACCTTAAGCATGTGAATGATTGTGACAGACAGGCAGAGCTCAAACAGAGCTCCGCATATTAAGAGTCAGAAGATAGAAAGAGATCCAACCTTTAGAAGAACAGTTTTCACTTTATAGATAGCATACCATGAACTGTGGGCTGCCTTCCTGTGAGCTGTCCAGCTCTCGATCTGCTTCTGCCAAGCCCTGATTAATATCATCTAGCTCAGCCTGAAGACGCTTGTACTCCATGTGGTCTCTGTCAAACTCTCTCTTGTACCCAAGCCTCTCCTGCTCATTAATGATGGGAGGATACTCACTGAGAGCATGGCAGCACAGAATAGAGGTAAAGGGAAAAATATGACAAGAGTGATACCGATTACATAAAGTCACAGATGCTGAGTATTTTTTTTTTAAACGTGCTCCAATACTACCAGCTATAAGATTTTCCTCACCTTTCATAGCCAGTGTCCAGCTCATCTCCAGACTCTCCAGTGTCATAGTCTCTCAGTTTGCCCTTCATTCCACTTAAAGACCTCATCAAGTCAGAACCACTTTAGATAATAAATAAATAAATAAATAACACCAATAGAAATTTTGTTAATAACTTGGGTGTGATATTTTTACAATTTTGATTGTAACTGACAGAGTAAGAATAGCTTTCTGATTACAATAGTTTCAGTCAGTTCACATAATCAGTTTGTGAAACTGGTTATTCGTGTTCATGACAAAACAAAATCCACCAGGTCCTATTCATACAGGTACAAGATTTCCTGGATTCCTTCATTCCGTGGCACATAGTCTAGTGACAGACTAATATTGAGCAGGCCAATCATTTTGAGCCAGTCTGTGCTTGCTTGGCTGATTAACAAAAGTGTTCATTCTGCTTACGGCGTGACTTTGTGTACAATTTTAATTTGCTATTATTAAATTGCATGCAGATGTTATTATTTTAACCATTATAAAAAAAAAAGATTAAAAAAAAGAGTCAACCACTACTAATGTAGTTCATATCTATAATAACCAAGCATATTCTAAAACAGCAAAGCCCTATCAATGCAAAATCACTGAACAAAGTCTACAGAAATATGAAAATATTTTTCTACGCATTTGTTTTTGCAACAAAATTAAAAGTACTGAGATGACCTACCTTGGAAGGTAAATTGGTTTCTGGCTGTGAACCTTTGGCTGTGCAACACTGATTTGGTCATTGTGGTCATTGACAAAAGCCTCTGGATCTCCAGACACATTATTTACCTGAAGAAAAACAAAGAACGTCATATCTAGACATTTTGTAAAAAAAATAAATAAATAAATAACTTTACTGTAGACAATTCCACATTCCATTTTTACAGTTTGGAAACAATGTGCATTTAATAATAAGTTGATGCACTGAAACCTGTTTACTCTGGGTACAAGTCCTGTTTGTAGCCATCTTAACACTGCATCAAAAGGTGTTTTTCCAGAGTGTTTTTTATAATACCCCACCCCTCCATACAGCCTCAAAATATTTTCACCGATCATGTGGTAGTCTGTAACTCCTGTAAGTGTTGTTGCAGGCCTCTTTTACTTTAGCTTCTCTGTTTCCACAACGCACTCAGCCTTCTTTTTGTATAGTAAATAGTCTGGACAAACATTAAAGCCAGGCAAAACCGGTTCCACCACTTCCACAAATACCATCATGACAAAGGACAAAACTACCACTGCTTACATGGTGAATTGTGTAAGAACAAAGCCAGTGGATTGACTTAATAACACTAGAACATGCTAATGTTTTTTTTTTGGATCTAACAATTCCCACCCACCATTTCATAAACTTTTAAGTCACTATCAAGTGTTCCATGTATTTCATCATGGAATTTTGTATCATAATCATGCTTCCCATCAAGTGAAAGTGCCTAAGAGGACACACCCAGAAACTAGACATAAAAACACCTCTTCATAGAAATCTTTCTCTGAAACGTCTCTTCGTGGAAGAGTCTTAATTGCAATGGTCTAGACCAAAGATACTGCTAAAAACAGTGGACCAGTTATAGGCACCACATAGCAACTCTTGAAAATAAAACAACATGCATCAAGAAGCATTCTAGGGTATAAATATGTAGTAGTAGTAGTACAACCTTAGTGCTACAAACAGTATTAAATTTCATGACCTCATAAATCCATGCATTGTACTGAATGAAGAAAACGAATGAAGAACTAACATGAACAGGAAATTAAACTTATCTTTTGAGGAATTTGCTAGTGAAAATTCTTACCCATTCTCCAATGCCTTGAGACGTGAGGCCGTCGGTGATGGTCTTCACATCATACCACAGAACACGCTCCCTGCCGTATCTCCTGATCTGCCCTCGGGTCTTCACAGCGAAAACAAGTAAGATGATCAATCCGACTGCAACCAGAAACCCAAGAACAACAGCAATGGCCTTGTAATGAGGAGAAAAAAAGAAATAATACTTTAAATAGCACCGTAAATGAACAACAAAATAGAGGATTGGTTTTGTGTATTTGCATGAATCTCAACTAGCATTTCTACACAACAGAAATGTCTTAAGTTGTGTCTGATAATAGCCAACCTGAACTGAACAAATGTTGTTATATAGATGGCCTACTCCCTGTCAGGAGCACATGCTCACCTCTTCAGGCTCCACTACACAGTAGTGGTATAAATATTGATTGAGGAAGATCCCAGAGGCCTGATCTTGGTTCTTATATTGTGCACACATCTGCAAGATCTGATTATACATCATGGATCCAGATGTCTGAGAAGTGGGGTTAACAGCGACCAGGTACACAATGGTGGCGATGAGCATTAGTACAGCCAGGATGGCACTAATAATGATGGAGGCCAGGTAGAATGAGGGAGACTGTGCAGCGTTCTGTCTCGACACCGCCAGGATGAAGATGATGAGCACAGCAATAAAGGTGATTGCAGCGATTGCGATGATGAAGCCCTTGCCTGATTTCGGATCCATGTACGTGCCGCCTCCATAGCCGTAGCCTCCGAGACTCCCGCTTCCTCCATATCCACCAAGCCCACCACCACCACCACCACCACCACCATACCCTCCACCACTATAGCTGCCTCCAAGACCCCCAAGACCCCCAAGGCCCATGGCGCTGGCATCATAGTCCCATGCCAGTGTGGAGGCTACGCAGGCAAACATAGCCACACACAAAATGATGATGATGATGCACAAAATCTTCATGACACCTGGGGGTGATGTCCAGCGGTAAAAGTGAAGCATTTCATCAGGGTGGTAAGAAGCTCTGCGATGGGTGGATCGGTGATGACTGAAATGACAGTGTGAGATAATATGAATGAGTAAAAGGAAAACGAACTAATTATGTTTTAAAACTTCTGTTTTAAAACTACTCAGATCCAGGGTTATTATAGTTAACTAAAGCTAAATCTAAAACCATAAAAAACACTTATTTTAAATGTTAACTAAATTTAAGTAAAATATAAAAAAAAAAAACCATCTTAAACTTATGTTATTTAATATCGTTTTAAAGGCAACATTTTAGTTTAACTTGAAATACTAACATAATTAAAACTAAATAAACTAAAATAAAAAAATAAAAACTATATAGACATATTTAAAAAGTAATAAAAATGACAAAACACAACTAAATCAACTAATTAAAATTCAAGTGAAAACAGAAAATTAAAAAAAAATCAAATTCTAAATATTAACAACAGTATATCAATGATACTAAAACAACAATGCACAGATCATAACACCATCAGAATGGGGCAGTAAGGATTCAGTGAAGAACACTTGTCTGTACTGACAATGGATGATTACATATGTTCTCTAATATGCAACTTACTGTCTGCCACCATATGCAGGAGGACGACTTGATTTTTTTGGCATGATGCTAGCTTCCTGGAAAAACTTCACAGGGTTGTCTGAATGAAATCTAATGTAAGAATGAAAAAATATAATTGATGAATCACTACAATATAATGAAATAATGCACTGATGTTAATCCAGATACAAAGATACGAATTAAGATACAAAGTGGCTTTTTACGTTACAGTTATTAATGAGTCTGCAATCAGAATGATTTTTTAAATTTTTATAATTGTAAAAACAGACCAAGGAATGTTGTGCTGTAACACCATCAGTTTAGCCAGTAAGATAAAGTCAATATCATGATTGCTGAGGTGACAAGTTATAAGTCTCTTTGTAAAAATAAGAGACTTTAGGGCAAAAAAAGAGAGAGATTATTGTAATTATACATTCATTTCACATCTTTATTTATTTATTTTATTTTTTTCAATATGGCTGACCAGAGATTATGCTTTTCAATATAGCCTACTTCTGAACTCACAAATTTGGACTATTTTGCTGTAATTATGAAATTTTAAACATGCTTTAATTTGTAGCAAAGAATTATGAGAATATTATATCAACGTTTGAGATCAAGCAACAACAAAAAAAACAGTACATCAGTACTTCAGTTTGATTAAGTGATTAAGATAAAATATTCTCAGAATTAGTTCACCTACACCTGGCATTTTACATAAATAACCACATTACGAAGGTCTGTAGAAAATCACGCTTGTCAAAAAACACAAGACGCTTAGCGCACAACTATGTACATTTCTTAAAATTAGTTCCGAACAACATCCTTATGCGTATTAGCATAGGCGGATTAACCATATGGGCAATTGGGCAAGTGCCCGGGGCACCACGCAAATAAATGTTCTGCGGTAAAACAAGCGATGTATTCTCAAACGTCTATCTAGCCGTGGCCTATACACATAGGCTACCCTTTCATCATAACGTACTAAGTTCTCTGAAAGTTTTTTTTTCTTTTTTTTCTCATGCGTGAAACAGTGGATGTGCGGATCTATCGCCAGATTCACACATATGCTAGCCTACT